CGCACGAGGAACCATTGAAATTACGTAGTTTGTATTTTGTAGCTTGTACACACATGAGTATTTCATTTTTACCAGAACAGGGGAAATGCTGCACAAAACCCATCCCATCATCTTTAGTTCACGTCTTGACACCGTGGCTTAGTGAGGAGAAGGGCAGGACTGAAGGATAGGCGCTATGGGCCCCCTCTTCCCTTCCATCCTGCGTCATCACTTTCAGACAAGTGGCTGTCTGACCAGGGACGTTCAATGGGGAGAAAGAATAGGACAAGTGCCTGGGCCATTCGTGTTTCTGAGAAGGTCACTGCCTTCTTTTGCATTTGAAGCGAGTTCAGCTTCAAGTGGCGCGTCTGGCTTCTCAGAGCTGTCAGTGCCCCACTTACTCAGCTGTAAAGGGGACGCGCTTACCTGTACTTGCTTGCAGTCTTGCCAAACTGCATGCATCTTTGGTCCACACTCTGTGTTTATGGGGCATTGTGAACACAAATGGGACAGCAAGAACCGGCAGACAGCAGCTCCACGTGGCTTCTTCTCTGCTAACACACACCCTCCATTGTCTCATAGGACTTCACTGACAAAACAAATCCCAAATCAAATTATTAACAATTCCAAGATGGTGTCCACAGAGCATGATGTCAGGTGGAAGCCCTTTTGAGTGTAGAGCCCGTGTGACGGTGAAGGCCACACAGCTGTGAGGCCGGCCCCGCACAGAACTGAGAAAGTCCTGATACGCGCTCTTCTGTTGGTTAGCTGAGTACCTTCTTCCCTGGATTCTGCCTGTTCCCTGGGACTCCTGGTAAATACATGACGAGACTTCTGGCCCTCCCCTTCATGTGCCCACTTCTCCCTCTGATCGTGATCTCTTTGTCCTTATGAACATTCTTCAAGAAACCCTTGATCTTTCAGTTCAATACTTCATCCTTCAATGTGTCTGTTCAATCATTTTTTAAATTTTGAAGTTTTATAGTTCTTTTTCTAACAGCCTCATCTTGTTTTGTGGATGGTTTATATTCTCTAATCTCCTGGACTATATTAATGATAATTACCTTGAAGACTTTCATCTTAGTCTGCATTGGCTCTTCCAGTTGTTGAGTTTGATTGCCACTTTCCCATAGCGTCCATTTTGCTCCAACTATCCGTTCATCTTGCTTGGCTATCTACTTTCCTTTCTGTTTGGGAATCCTCGGCCAGCATGGTTGTCTGGGCTCCGTTTTCTCATTTGTAAAATAAGGGCCTCAAGCAGATCAGCGGCTTTCCACTCTTTTTAGCTTTGGGAAATGTCAAATGAGAACTTATTTGTGAAAGCACAGTGTGTAAGTGGAGGGGGTACAGCAATCATCACGGCAGGTGACCTTGAAGGTCCCTCCTGCGACCCCACTCAAGACAGGCCTGGCCCTGGGGCTCCTGGGCCCTTCCACACAGCCTGACCCAGCAGCTAATGGACCAGGTCATCCAGATGGTCATTTCAGGCTCAATATTATGGGATTCCTTGTGGGGAGCACATAGATTGGAACTTCTGTGAAATGCCTCCCTGCATGTCCATTTTGGCATGGTTCTAGAGATGGAAGGGTCCCCTGGCAGACAGACTCCCAACGACTTGCTCAATACCACCCTCTGGATGGGAACAGAACTCCCATCAGTGGCTTCCAGATAAAGTCTCGACAAAGAAAGCCACACAGAACAGTGGTGACGTCAGTTCTGTAAAACTCACAATTACATTCTTTTCTTTAAGTGGACCTCCTGATTTCAAAGGGATCATTTCCAAAAAAGACTGGGCCGGGCTCCAGTCTTGGCCTCTGTGGATAATATCAAAGTAGATGCTATAAATTAGTAAATTCATGGCAGTCTATCATAAACGAGACAAAACGGCCTTTGCTGCGAGACCCCACGGCTGCTCTTCCTCAGCCCGTGCGGAGCAGACGCCAGGTGGGACGGGGCTCCGTGGACCTGCTGTCTAGTTTCTGATCTAGAAACAAGTCAAAGCACCAGTGTGGAAATACCTGCTGTTCTTAAAATAGGTCTATGTGGCTCAGTGTTTTTTGTTTTTCCTTAAGGGCACTTGAGATTCAACACAAAAATGAGGAAGTGAAAGCTTTGAATTGGTTTGTCCTCTTTTATCATCTTGGGGAGGATGGTTCTTTTTTGTAAGTGTTTCTGGGAGGAAAATTGAATTTATTTCTCTTAAGAGGTCAGTTTTACATGAATCAAACTAGTAACAACAACAATATTAATAATAATAATAATAAATCCTGTTCAGAACCTCGAGAAAGTCTGCAGCTGGAGACTGGTCTTCCCTCGGCTCTGGAGGTGTCCGGCTCATCGGCCTCCCCAGGGTCTCTCCTCCTTGCACCCTGGGACGAAGGGCTGCCCCTCACGCCTCTGCTTCATCTTGAACTCTGATCTCCTTGTCCTTTAGCACACGTTCTGGAAGAACCCTGGAACCTCTCCTTCAAATGCTGAAAGGTTCTTGGGGGTTCCCATCGTTCTGGATAATCCCGAGAGTTGGTGTTGAAAACATCCACACGACATATTTTTGTTTTCCCTTTTGTCAGCGACCTCAAAGCCACATTCCCAGTCAGGATCCCACCACAGCCTGCACGGGCTGTCCCCTCTTGTCCCAAAGCTTGTCACTTACAGCCCAGGGAGAAGAAATAGAGACCAGAGCACTGAGCAGAGAGAAGTGCCCCTGGGTGGGGTCTGAAGAAGGGCCTCTCCTTCCCAAAGGCCCGTGTGGATCTTCCCGTCTGTTCACCCACAACAGAGCTGGCCCGCGCTCTTGTTTATTTTCAAATCTAGGACACAAACACGATGTACACATTTCCTCAGTGCATGGATTGTTGAAGTCTCACGCACTGCTCATCCCACGTTTCCAGCCTCAGCGGCACCCAGTCAGCGGCACCCAGAAGGTCACCACCTGGTCACAGCTGGGCCCCGGGTCATCACTATCCCAACTTCCAATAGTGTAGCTTGATCTCCATTCTGTCCTTCGTACACATGGAATCGTACAGTTTGTACTTTTCTGTCCCACTTCTCTGGCTCCAACTGCATTTGCAAGATTCTCATCTGTGTTATCTCGTGCACTTGTGGATCACCGTGTCCTTGTCACACCAGCGTCCACCCCATGGCAGGAATGCACCTCGGCGTATTTGTTCATTCCTCTGCTGATGGGCACTTGTGTGTGGGGATGGGGGCCAGAGTTTTCAAGGATATGCTCAGGTTGAAATGGCTGCTATTGTCTAAAGAATTTAAGAAACAACCCAAACCTTGCCCCACTCAATGAGTGCATGAGGGGTGAATAAAAGCCTCTTCTGGATCCCCTGGTTGCTGCCCGTTCCCTTTCTCTGGGGTGGGAAGTGTTGACTGAGCTTATGAAGACCTGGAAACAGAGGCAGCTGGAGATCCTTGGAAGCTGCTCACGATCCCAACACTCAATCTGCCAAGAGATCTCACCAGAAAAGGAAGGACGAGCGGGCAGGAGCGGGGAGCAAGGAGGAGCGATGACCCCATTCACAGGGAACATTTTTCAGAAAAACCTACATGCTTGACTCCACAGATGGGTCTCCAATCTAGAGGGTCGGAAAAGCACGTTGGGCCACTCTGACTTGTCCTGCCAGCAAGAAAATGGGAGTAGGTCGCTGGTGCTCTCCTCCAGACAGTTCCCTTGGACTCAAGGAGGCTGGAGTCAACCAGGGATGGATGCCAGAAACCTCAGAAGACGCCACGCCATTCAAGGAAGTCCAGGGACGGGCTGCACAGAAACTTCTGGCTAGAAATCAAATTTCCCCACCCAGATGAAGCCCTAAAAGGAAGTAAATCACAGAGGCCTTTGACACTGGAGAATTCAAAAGTCTGGATGTTCGTATTCTTTGGCTGGTGCTGATATAACCTGAGGTTACTGTTTCTGTTGAGTGCATGTTAACTCCATGGTATTATCTGCTATTTGCAGGCTCCCAGGCATTTGTTCCCCCAAGAAAGCACTAATTTGTAAATTCATTCAATGAACACAAAAGTAAACGAATCTGCTTAATGATAGAGGAGTTTATGATTCCTGGATTCACCTGGATTCCAGCTAGAAATCTGGTTGCGTTTTGAGATGCAGTTCACTCCCCCACCCCACCCTGAGACAGCTGCCTTATAGTCTCAGGTCCACTGTCAGGTCCCGCCTGTTCCAGGGCCCAGGCATGTGCCCATTCTCACGCAGGAGGCCGGCTCTCCTCTTGGAGCTGTTTGGTGGCATGGCTCACCCTGGGGCCAACAGCAGCATCCCGCGTCTCCCGTGGTATGGCGCTCTCCTGAGTCCTGACCCTGCTGGGCAGCCTTGCCCCCAGGCAGGCCTCACCCTGGGGTGGGGGGTCCAGGGCTTGCAGGCTACTGGATGTCCTCCGGCCAGTGCCTGCCTCGGCTGAACCTCCTCTTGTTGTCCACGACCTCCCGTGTGCCTGTGGCTGCAGCCCTGTCTCTGTTCTCTATTGACTCCAAGGGGGAGGATCGAATGAGCAACAGAGGGTAGAACGTTTTCTGATTTTTCAAAAAAGTGTTTTGATTATTTTTTTCTGATTTCCAAGCCAATACAGACATGGAAGGAGAGGTGGTGGTGCTACAGAAGGTTGGAGAGGCTCCCTCCTCCTAACCCTGATGAGCTGAAGACCCCCAGCACCGACTGAAACAGCAGGTGGGCTCGCAGCTACCGGAGGACGGAGCATGGGGCAGAACCACCCAGCAGGTGAGAAGAATCCAAGAACAACATTCAAGTCTCAATGCCTTGAATCCTCCAACGCATTACTGGGGAGGAAGGGACAGAAACCCCTTCTCTGACGTGATGTCCACGCAGGGACCCATCAGGATGGGAAGACCCGCCCAAGGCACACAAGACTGTTTCTCCTGACTATGGAGGCAAGTCGATCGCTCAGACGTAACTGCTTCTGTGCACAAGATTTGAGCTTGATAAAGAGACAAAATAAATGAGGGGAAAGCGGGAGGCAGGGGGCCAAGCGCACGTTTGCAAGCCCCTGCCCTTCCCACGCGGCACAGGCTGCCCGCCCCAGCTCCCTGCTCCCACAGGGAGAGAACTTTCCAGCATTCACCGTGGGCTTCTCTTCCCCGTGTCTTCAGGGTTCCTCCCGCGCCCGGCAGACGTGCTCTCGAGGAGGACGGTTGTTACAGAAATGAGGACCAGCTGGCCAAGCAGTGGACAGAACCTGCACCCACGCCTCCAGAGCCAGAGGAGCTGGTGCTGAGCAAGCGGAGGAGAGCTTGTTGTCTGAGAGCCAGACGCTCACCTTCCGTGCCAAGCTCACAGAGCCGCATGAAGGAAAGATTTGTAGCCATTCTCTATTTTCAGCGCAAGTTTAAACTCAACTTGTTCAAACCTGGGGTATGTAACTCGGTTTATAACACGTCGAGGCAGAGCAGCAGATGGACAGCACAGTCGGGACGTCTGCTGTTAACACAAGTGCAGGTGCTGATAAGCCAAACCGGAGTTGACAGAAGAAACCAGACGCTGGCGAACTGGTGGAGTGGACTAAGGGGCAGGCCCTGGCCTGGCCTCTGCGAGGGGCTCCTGGGCACAGAACCGACGGCCTAGCAAGGGGTCTGTTTCCTCTGCCGCAGCCGGAAGTTGGATGCCCCGGGGATGGTGCTGGGCCGCCTCTGCCTCTAGACCGCCCACCTTAGCTAAAATTCCGAGACCAGGAAGCCACCAGCCCCAGCCACGTGCTTCAGGAGTAGCTTGTCTCAGCTGGGGGTCGGAAGAGGGCCCAGGCTCCCGCTAGCTGCTACCCGGGAAATGGGTGCCCCAAGGCCTGCTCTTGACACTCGTGCAGCCCCTGCCTGGATGTCGGGACCTCTGCTGAAGCTGCAGCAGAAAATCAGAAGCCTCCCCACCTGCTGGGGTGCCCCAGTGGGAAGAGCAGACAGAGCAGAGCAGGGCCCACTTCTCCCTGCCCTGAAATCATGAGCATCTACACCTAATGGGATGGAGATAAGATCACACCCAGAATACAGCTGCAGGGGAGTTTGGGCAAAGTCGTCTTAGCTTCCCAGCCTCTGCTGCCCCGGGGGGCATGGACAGCTCACTGGGCTCTGTCTACCAAATCCAGCACTAACCAGGGCACAGACTCGGGGACTTCCAAACCAGGCCACGGGGCAGACGTGCTCCTGTCTCTCACCTCTGGCTGCAGGATCACCCTCCTCTCTCCACCGGCACAGGACTCTGCGAAGGAGGGTGACGGGGTCAGGGGGAATCATCAGCCCCAGAAACGTCTTTGATCCTGGACAACCCCAGAGGCCGCATCAGAGACACATTGCTGTGCGCCCCCGAGCGGATCAGGGGCTGGACTTGAGTCTCGCCCACCGCAGGCCAATCAGCAGCAGCCCGTGGGGCTCCTTTAACAGGTCAGGGAGCCGAGTCTATGCGAGAGGCAGTTCTGGGACAGATGAGCAACGTCAAGCAATTAAATAAAAGATCTGAAACAGTTCAGAGGAAATGATTCAGCAGCAGAGTGAAGCGGGGAGGCCTTGTGGATCCTCCTCAAAATGTTTTTGAGGAAAGTCAGGTGTTTCAGAGAACATGACAGCAACGGCAGCAGGAGGCTGCTGAGGTGGCAGTGTGCCCCGCGGCTGACCTTGCTCTGGGAGATCTGACCCAGCCAGGCCGCGGTTCTGGCTCTCTGAGCACCGGCCCTGCAGCGAGCCGGCCGTGCCGCTGCCATTGTGCGGTGGATGGGCTCGGTGGGCACAGGTGGACGGTGCAGTCCCTGCGTCCCCACATGTGCAGAACTGCCTAGACAGCAGTGTCATTACCCATGTTCCAACGAGCCGATTTTAACGGTACTCACTGGCGTATTCTCTGTTCTAATCAGCAGCATTTGGGACCCCAGGATGCTTGATGTTTGCTCAATACACGAAGCTACAGACATGACTGTGCGTGAACATCTGACATCACTATTAAGCTCTTAGGGTACAGAGAAGAACGTCGCAGAGCACTGCGGAGGGGCTGGAACCCGGGCCCGTGGTGCATTGGCAGGGCGGGAGGTGCTCACGGTGGGCGGGAGGCCATGGCCTCTGCCTGGGGCCAGTGAAGCAGGGCAGCGTGTGACGCTCAGCAGCTGTGTTGGCTGTGCCCTCCTCTCAGCATCCTCTCGTGCTGCACACACACTGTCAGCACCACCCAGCATGCAACTCGGCTCCTCACGCCTCCTGTGCCTTTCACAGCATGGCCTCTGCAACAACCAAGGCCTTGTGACAGAGAGAAGGAGCCTGGGATGTGCTCCCTGTCCTGGAGGTGCCGTCAGTCTAATGGGGGAGACAAACTTCACAGGACAAAGTAAGAACAGGCTCCAGGCTGAATGCAGAGGCTTCACAGAGATGGTTGCGTTTTGTACAGAACTTGGAAGTTGAGAGAAATGGCCAGAAAGCGCAGGGAAGGAGGTTCCTGCCCCCGGGAGCTGCATCAGGGGGATGCACAGGACGATGCTGCTGTGAGCAGCGGTCCCCAGTCTCAGCGTGCACACCACCAGAGGTTCAACATCCGCTCTCCCTGCCCACAGAGGACTGGCAGGGGCCTCGCCTCGTGCACACATTCCAGGACCCACGTCAGTGCTGGAGGGGAGCGGTTCTGGAGGGCTCCAGGTGGCAGTTAAACCATCTTCTTGAACTGACCCAGGTCATCTCTGCCCACAGCCTATCAGCCAGCTATCCACACAGCCCCACCCGGCCACAGGGCCAGGCAGGGGAGCCCTAGTGACCCTGGAAGACAGAACCGTGGGAATATTTGGGGTCCAGCACTGATTGCCACCTGGGCCAACTCTGGAGCCAACACGGGCATTTGGGGAAGAGGTGACAGGCCAGAGGGCCAGGTCAGTGCAATACGGAGGTCGGGGGAGGTAAGTGGTGTCATAACAGAGTTCCAAAAATCAGCCCCTGGTTTGTGCAGAGGCGGAATATCAGAGAGTGCTCTTAGGCTCCGTCCCTGTGGGGAGCGAGGCAGGAGGACTGGGACCCCGCAAAGGGAGAATTTGAACCTCGAAGGCAGCCCCAAGGAAGGGCACCGCTGGGGGTCCTTCAGGCCTGCCGTTATGCAGGCAAAGGGGCGGGGCCTCTGTGCTCGCCTGAGCCCATCGGATGGGGTGGCCCCAGGATGACATGGCTGACTCTGAGCTCCTCCTGGCTGAGGCGGTTCCTGGGGAGGGCTCAGCTGGAGGCCTGAGCTCTGTGTGTGCGTGTGTGTGTGTGTGTGTGTGTAGGACAGGAGGAGTCCGTGTGAAGCCCACAATGTCCAACACGGGAGGAAACAGGCCAGGCTGGAAGTCACTGTGCAGTCGTACTCATGTAGCTCTGGAACCAAATTCCAGAAGTGCAGTGGGCATTACCTCTGCTATGAGCACTGACCAGGTTCTGAGCTTTCAAATAAAGACATATGGCGTATGTGTTTAATAACACAGAGGCATAATTGCAGCAGAAAAAGTAGCAATATGTGGAATGCATCACATATATTTCAGGTTTAGGACAACTGTACACAGAAAAACCCAAAAAGGGCCTGGATTTCTGTCCGTTATGGTCCAGTGGAGCTGACCCGGCAGATTTACACCAGAGCCGACCATTGTTAACGCTCATCTCCTCTGTAAGACAAAACTATTGTCAGTAATAATCTGAAAAGAAATAACTATTGTTCATATGTGACCCAAAATCTGACCTTACCAAACAAAAATATTGTCCCTCACAGTCCTAACTTGTGTCACTGTTTGAAATTTTCAACACTGATGCAAGTGCCAGCTGGTCACATTGAGGGCCTTGTTGTGTTTCTCCATCTTTTCCGTCGCTGGGCAGTCCTGGTGCCTGTCAGACCTGCTGTCTTGAGGCAGGAACACACAGCACCTGGGGCTGCGAGCCGGAACCATCAGCGCTCTCACGGCAAGCATGTGAAGCCGAGTCCCAGACAGCCAACAGCCAGGGCTCATCCAAGGGCGGGTGAGGACCACGTGCTAACCTGCCGCCCACGTGGATGTCAGCGAAGCTCCTTGAATGGCAGCAGCTGTTTGGGACCTGCCCCAACAGAGATTTAGGGGAAAGAGTATGCCATCACTGGCCTTGTTTAGAATTCCTAGTGCACGGTGACAATAAATAGCAGACTCATCTATAGTCACTTTTATTATTATTTTTAAATTCTCTGCAGTCAATGACCCCCCCACATGGTCTGCAGCAGGGCAGACCCCCCCAACCCTGTCCTTGGCATAAAACTTCCTTCCCTGTGTCTAGGAGTGTGTGTGTGAGTATGAGTGTGGGTGTGAGTGTGCATGAGGGTGTGTGTGTGTTCAAGGAACAAAGGCTATGCACATGGGGTCAGGAGGAGGAGGTGTTGCTGGAAACGCGCATGCAGTGAGCAGCCCTTCGGCCTCTCTGAGCCTGCTTCCTCTTCTACCAAGTGGGGACATAACTGCAGCTGGGAGCTGGGAGGTGGAGGACGAAATGAAGGCCTCAGTGCATCGCACGGTGGGCACGCAGTGAGAGCGAGCCCTGTGGTGACAAGACCAAGAGCGTCTCTGTGCGCCTCTGCTGGGAACACAACCCAGAAGCATGGACGCCACTAATGGGGAACCCACCTACAGTGTCCCATCCAGACCTGCTCTGCACCTGAGACGCATGGTTGTTGTGGGGCCCTACCTTGACGGGCCTCACTGGGTGGTTCACACGAGGGCAGCGAGCTTTCTCCGATCTTGCAGGGCTGAGAAGGAAACAGGTGCCCGCACGGTTTGGTCATGATGTCGGTCAGGGATCAGGTTGTTACATTTCTATGGGATCATCTGCATCCGGATGAGGAAACTAACTCTATTATAAGGTAATGCATTTCCAGAAGGCAACAATAGTAGTAACTGCTGACACGCATTGGACGTTTTCTGCGTGCCTCTGAAGTCCCCACCATGCTCCTCGCTCAGGCGCCCCTGCAGCAGACGCTGAGACAGGACTGGGGGCGGACAGTTCATCTGGGAGGTGGTCTGAGAGGCCTGCCTGAGGGAGAGGAAGTGAGACAGGGGGACAGACAGGGAACGATCCGGGGTGCACTAGTGAACAAGCACTGCCTGCCAGTTGGTCTCAGTCCCCTGGGAGGTCCTCCAAGTTACGGCCTGGACCGTGCCTCCCTGTCATCTACCATGGGATGGGGACCCGGGGATTATCTTCTCCCTCCTTCGCTTGTTGGCTGAGGTTGCCTTTGGGGAGTTAAACAGCATGCACTCCTGGTTGTCCTGCTCAGGCCCTGAGCAAGCGCCTGGACACCAGGGAAGACCCTCCAGCACAAGGCAGAGCAGGCTCCAAGTGGGGCATTGTTGGGACAAGGGGGCACTGTCTGCCCTGGCTGTAGGTTATCTCAGAGGTGGACTGTGGTAGATTAAACTTGGCCACAAATTCTTTGCTCCTTCTCCATTGATGGGTAGAATCTGGGTACCCACCTTCCTGAATTCCGTAACCATAGGCTGTGATGGAAGGGATGTTCTGGGACTTCAGAGGCTATGTCTTAAGGAGGCTTGCAATGTCCACCCATTAGCCATTCGACTAACCTGAGTCCGCCATGCTGCGAGGAAGCCCAAGCTCCCCACAGAGAAAGGTGGTGACGAGAGAGAGAGAGAGAGAGAGAGAGAGAGAGAGAGAGGCCGGCTCAGTTTACCTTCTCCCAGTGGAGACCCTGACATCATGGAGCAGAGATGGGCCATTCCAGCTGTAGCCTGTCTCCATTTCTCACCCACAGAACCAAGGGACAGAGTCATAACAGACTGCTGTTTTAGCCACTACAATTTGAGGTCACTGTTTGTGCTGGTGGATAACTAGACACAGTCTAAAGGCACGTGAGGGAAGACGTGTTTGCTGTGGCTCAGGAGCTGGAAGGACTGTCACAGGCCCTCAGGCCCACTCCCCCTAGTTAGAGCGCAGGAGATTGGTCTGAAATGGTCTGGGCTCTTTCGCGCCCAGTGGCGGCTTCCAGGGCCCTGGCAGGAGGGTGATGCCAGGACTGTACACCCCGAGTTGCTTAGCCTCCCGTCTCAAGCAGGGTGGGTAAAAGGATCTGGGCTTGAGAGTGGGGAGGACCGGAGGATAACTGGAACTCCCAGACGGGATGAGAGAGACTGCGGCACATCCCCCACCCCGAGGGGGGAGGAGATGGGCAGCAGCCATGGGACTTGTGTCATCCAGCACTTCCCTGTGTCTAGTCCAGACCTGCAGCGTCTGCCTCCCCTGGGAGCTGGCTCTGACCTCCCTCGAGACCTGCTGACTCAGGGCTGTGGGGGGCGGGGGGCTGTCACAAGCCCCCGAGTGATCCCGATGCTTACCAATGTTTGCAAAGCCCGGTGTAGAAGAGGCATGGAGGAGAAGGTGGCTCTGCAGACAGCTGGTGCCTGACCAGAGACCCCTCACAGACAGGCCACAGGGGGCCCCAGGGCCCTGAGATGGGGCTGCAGCCTTTGCCTCTGAGTAAATAACTTCCCCCACATGCTGGACTCTATGCGCATCCCGGGAAATGGGGCTGGATGGACAGATGTGTCTAGCTCAGGGGTTCATCCTCCTGGAGTCAGGGGCATCCTTGGGGTGGATGGAGCAGGGCAAGTGGCCAGGGGCACTTCTGTGGGCTGAGCATTCTCACTCACAGGGTCTCTGAGGGGCACCTCGGGGAGGCAGTGAGAGCAGGAGCTGCCCAGGGACCTTGCAGCCTCACCGCCCAGTCACAGGTGGGAAGGGCCATGCGTCCCTGGGTCATCTCCGTGCCTTGGCAACTGGCTCCAGGCAGAGGAGAAGAGGCGAAGGCTCTGTTCAAGGCGGACACGGCCTCGGTGCCCTCCTCCCACCCACCGCCCCCGAATCTCAGAGGAGGCACAGGCAGCAAGCGCCCTCCATCGTACGGAGAGGCAGACAGTCTGGGTCACCTCTGACTTGTGGGTCCTTGGCGCTAGCTCCGTTTCCTTGGCTCCATGTAGGACGTGTTGTCCTGGGTTCCCTCTAGGGTACCCTGCAGGGCTAACATTTCCAGCCAGCCAGGGAGGACTGCATAAATGCAATGTGTTCCACTTGGCTTGTTTCAAAGTCCCGGAGGCCTCACGCCCAGCCTGGTGCATTAGCACAGACCCTGCAAAGAGGGGCACATCGATGACATTTACATGGATGCTGCCACCTCCATCACCTTGTTTTATAGCTTCTTAATATGTTAATATTCTAGTTGAATTACATAGAAAGGACATTAACCACTTCTCCTCCTGACTCTCCCCCCTCCAGGACTAGAAAACAACAGAAAATTCTGAATAATTGCATGAGTGATATTAGCTGCACCTGGACAGAACCCCAAGAACCCTGAGTGCAGGAGGGTTGAGATTTCCCCCAAATCTTTCCTCCGAGCAAACGTGGAGGTGGGTGGACTCCTGAGGGAAAGCGGAATGGGCTTCACCCTGTGTTCCTTCCATTGTGTGTGGTGTGGAGGCCCCACATCTGCCAGCTCAGGTCAAGCTGACCCTGGAGAAGTGAAAGTGAAGCTTACGATCAGCCAGAATTACATTCCAGCTTATGAGTGATTTATCATCCAGGCGAATCCATTGTTGCCAGTTTAGGTGCCAAAGGGCAAAACTCACTCAATGACACACATCTCCCAGAACTCGCTTTTGTTTTGTCTTCTAACAATGGGTACTATAAAGGTTTTTTTATAGTAACTTTAACCACAAAGTTTTCTATAGTTAAAGTTTTTAACTATAAAGTCCCAAAGAGAAGAAAGTCCACTACGTCCCCCTGATTAAGACCCTCCTCACCATGACCACCGTGCTGGGGTGTTGCCGGGTCCCCGGGATGGAATCTCCCAGCGCTGCTCAAGCTGATGCCCCAGCAGCACCAGCAGCATCAGCACCATCAGCAGCACCAGCAGCACCAGCAGCACCAGCACCACAAGCACCACCAGCAGCACAAGCAGCACCAGCAGCACCAGCAGCACCAGCACCAGCAGCACCAGCAGCATCAGCACCACGAGCAGCACCAGCAGCACCAGCAGCACCAGCACCACAAGCACCACCAGCAGCACAAGCAGCACCAGCAGCACCAGCACCACCAGCACCACCAGCACCAGCAGCGCCAGCACCACCAGCAGCACCAGCACCGCCAGCACCACCAGCACCTCCAGCAGCAGTATCTAAGAACTCACTAGAAATGGCCCCTCCTGGACCTACCGAAGCAGAACCTCTGGGGGTGGGCCCTGGCATCTGTGCCTTATCGAGTTTTCTGGTGATTCGTATGACTGTTAAGGTTTGACAAGCACTGACCTACAGGGGTGCCCCACCTCTGCCCAGGAGCACTCCCATCTCCGGATCCTACAGGAGGCCTCCCAGTACTTCCTACCCCCAGGGCAAACCAATGACAAGACCCATCAGGTACCAGATCAAAAGGGGCAATAGACTTACCATGCGTAAATAATATACCCTGCAAGTTATTCTCTGTGGTTATCAAAACCGTGCTGGGCTGCATCAAGCAGAGTGTTATGGGCTGAACTGTGTCCCCCCAGAACTCAGAAGTTGAAGTCTTAACTCCCAGTACTGCAGAATGTGACTGCATTTGGAGACAAGGCCTTTAAAGAGGTAATTAAATTAAAATGAAGTCATTAGGGTGGGCCCTAATCCAATAGGACTGTCTCCTTATAAGGAGAGACTAGGACGCAGACACATGCGTGCGAAGACACAGGGAGAAGACGGCCATCTGTAAGCCAAGGAGAGAGGCCTGGAACACATCGTTTCCTCATAGCCCTCAGAACGAACAGCCCTGCCCTCACCTTGGTCTCGGAACACCAGCCTGCAGAGTTGCGAGAGAATGTGTTGCTGTTGGTAGAGCCACCCACTCTGTGGTGCTTTGTCACACGGCCTAGCAAACCACTACATAGCACAAACATCTACTCGCCTCGAAACAATGAACTCTGATGTACAAAATGTTCCCGAGAGACAGCTTCTGAGATAGATAATGTTTAAAGAAAAGAAGGAGTGCCTTACTGATCACTTCATAAGATGAGGACCCCTTCCCACTGTTACAAGACCACAGACCCCAGCAGCACAGAACTGCTCTCTACCCAACCCACGAGCCACATGAATCACTCAGTGACAACTTTCACACAATTGCACCTGTTTCCGACAATGAGCGCAACTATATAATTAAATAAATTAAGAAGGCAAGGCCACTGGATCAGATAGCTTATCCTTAGATCCATGAATATATTTGGCAGGAACATTAAGTCTTGATAAAGATGGTTCCAGAGTGTTTAATCTGAGTTGTTGTCAGAAGCCGTGTCTGGAACAACCACTTCACTGTGAAGCCCAAAGCCCCAGTGAGACCTTGTCTGTCCCTGTGGCTGTTGGGATGAGAGCTCTAGGGACCGGGGGAAGGGGGTGGCAGAGAGCAACTGACTTCCATTTAAACTCAGTTGTCTGCCCAAGACTTCCATTTCATTGAAATTGGCCCATTCTGGCATTGTCGACTAGGGAAGAAGAATGCATTTCCCCCATGTCCCCCACACAGGCCAACCTGAGTGTCCGGAAAATAGCCTCCCACAGGGGGAACCTATGAATGACCCTGCTATCAAGAAACACATCCAATGATCACCTGATATGGGAGGCATCGACTCATTGTGGTACTTTAACTGCCCACCCATCTGTAGAACACAGAAGACCAGGAGCATCAATGATTCCCAGCTTCTGACACATAACGCTGATTTTCAGAGAAAAGAAAATTATTTAAGCCAAATTGCATAACTAATATCTAATCTGTAAACATATTTGAAACTTGGCAAAAATCAGAGCTAGCTGGCCTTGAACCTGCAGCCCTGTGCATCTGTGCACAGGTGGGAGTCCTGAGCATATTCTCTGATGGCTGCCCATAGGCCACGAGATGTCATCATATGGACCTGTCCAGAGGTCCACAATTTGGGCCCTGCACAGAGAATACAATAAATCGATTGTGTGGGCTGACGAATTACGTACTGAAGGAGAAGTTCACTCTAGGGTGGGCATTAACCTGCAGATGACGGCTGCCCCAGTGGAGAGGCGGTCAGACGCCGGTTCGGCAGGCCTGCTTGCCTCTGTGCTGGAGGTGGTGCAGCCCTGAGCAAAGTGCGCTCCAGTGCGGACCTCCTCAAAAGGGGTCAGGCAAGGCCAAGAAAAAAGCCCACTGACTCAATCTCCACATAAACAAGATGCAAAATTTCTTGAAAGGTCTGCAGGAATCAAAGCACCTGTTTTGACAACTGTGCCCCAGGGCGCGCTGCCTAGCAGACAGGAGTTGGCTAAGCCGAGGAAAGAGGAGGACACTCACCGAGAACTGGACCCAATTCTCACGTCACACCACAAGGCGGGAGATGGAGCTCATTTTACAGATGAGGAACCCGAGACCTGGATTACATGCCTCTGCCAAGTGGGAGGAGCCAGCACTGGACATGGGTGGTCTGACTCAAATCCAGCCCTGTGGGCGACATGGGGACTAATCCCTGCCACAAAAAAATATCCCCCGTGCACTAGCCACCAGCGGTCAGCAATAGCTTTTGTTTTTAGGGGAATCAGAGGACACTCTGGTAGCCAATTTCCAAGATCCTCTCTTCCTGGCATCCACCCCTCCCACACTGAGTCAAGGCTGGCCATTATGACTAGTAGAATGTGGCATGAGCACGGTGTGACCTCCAAGACTAGGTCATAAAAAGCAGTGCAGCCTCCTCCTGGGTCTCTTGAATCGCTCCCCCTGGGGGAGGCCAGCTGCCATGTCTTGAGGACACTCAGGCAGCCCTGCGGAGAAGCCCACGGGGAGAGGAACTGAGGCCCCAGCCGATGCCAGCACCAACTTTCCAGCCACTTCAGAAGTGGGTCCTCCAGCCCCAGTCGACCTTCAGACGAGTGCAGCCCCAGCCAACGTCTGGTTGCAATGTCACGAGAGACCCCGAGCCAGACCCATCCGGCCACACTGCTCCCGGATTCCTGACCCACAGAAACTGGGAGGGATAAAAAGGACTATCATCGCTTTCAGTGGTGGGGTGACTTTTTGCACAGGAATAGATCATTAGTACACATCGAAATCTCTTTATTTCCAAATAAATAGTCCAGTGCTGTCAGGCCTGGGCACCACCCCTGGCAGTAAGATGGAGTGGTGAGTAACCCCCCGGCTGCTCCACCCGTCCCTCACCCAGCCACGGGGCCCCAGGAGCTCGGCAGCTCCCAGCTTCCAGTGTGACCACCTTATGGGTTTGTGTCCACGCTTAGGAACTACAAAAGTGCTCCATATTCTGATGGCCCCATGCACACGCCTTGAGAAGAAGTGCCATCCTTGATTCCTGCTGAAACTACCTCCCTCATATCCCAAATTGGCCTGTTCTTCTCCGCCTCAAAGTAAGTCACCCACGTACCTCTCGTGGACAGCCTCGAAAGACTCCCGTACGGTCCCCAGGCTTTGTCCCTTGTCCTGCTATAGGCAAGTCTCCACACAGCAACTCGAGGGCCCTAACATAAATCCTATGCCAGCCCTCCCTCACTTCCGGTGCCCACGGCTCCGTCACACTGGAGAATGAAGTCCAGCCGCTGACCCAGCCCGGCCCCGCTGCCCCCACCTCAGGCCCTGTCATCCGCCTTCGGCCTCTCTGGCCTCGAGGTCTTTGCGATGCCACTCTTTCCTCCTGGCACATTCTTCCCATGGATTTTCATTTGGCTTCTTCCCTTCATTAGCTCTCATCTTGTCATCACCTCCTTTCCAAAGGACCCAGCTTGAAGTCTCCACCCAGTGACTATATCACTTCTCCCTGGACTTATCTTCTCTGCACAGCCTTTCGCTTCTGGTCTTTTTCTTTGTTTCATTCATTACTTATTTGCCTCCCTATCCCGCTCCACCCCGGTATCTTCTGTTCCTAAAACAGCGCCCGGCACATCACAGATGGTCAGTAAGTGCTGGCTGAGTGCGTGAGTGGGGCGTGTGAACCCGGGCAGATGAACAGGGGCCGAGAGAGTTAGAAGAGAAAAACAAGCTCTTCCGTGTGTGGAGGGGAGCAGGGAGGGGAGCGGAGGGGCCGTTTCTATGGATTTGCATCTTCTGCTTGGTCTCAACACTGATGGAAACTCACGAAGTTGATGAGACAGCTTCCATTTGTGTGCTGTTTACGATTCACAAAGCAGTCTCGTGGACGTGGCTTCATTTGCTCTTCACAACGTTCTGTGAGATAGAGCAGGTGTAACAGGCAGCTATTGCTGCTGAGCAAACATCCCAAATTTACCAGCTTCAAACAACAAGCGATCCTCAACTCCGCTGGGCGACGAAGGCCGGGAACAGGGCGGTGATGGTCATTTGGGCTCTGCTCCCACATGCATGTGTATGGAAAGCTGTGGGTCGCCAGGCAGCATGATTGTGGGGCCCGACTAGCTGTCAGCTGGGACACCTCAGCTCCCCCAATACACATTTCTCTCCCAGCGGGCCAGTCCAGGCCTATGATTCTCAGAAAAAGACAACAGAGCAGGAGCGAGCGACGTGCAGCACCCCTGGGCCTCAGCCTGGGGCCTGCTCACTGTCACTGCCGCTGCCGCTGGAAGGTATGGCAGGTCACAGGACCCAATGCTTGGCATGGGGAGCTCAGCTCCACCTCTCAATGGCAGGCCTGAAAAGTCACACTGGAAAGATGTTCACATGGGGAGACTGGGGCCATTCTGGCAATCGATCCACCAATCCTTTTACAGAAGGAGAGGCTCAGAGGAAATTCAGTGGCTTGCCCAAGTAGTGCTCACATGGAGACCTGACCGTGGGTTTTCTGCCCCCGAACTCACTGCTGAGTTCTCACAAAGCTCCTCCCGCTTCCTCCCTGCTCCAAGCCCTGATTGGCAGGTCGTCCAGAGCCTCTCCCTCTGAGCTTACTGCAGCGACCCTGGATCCGTTCACATCTTGACTGACCACAGGCCCAGAGAGGGAGAGGGTGTTTCTCGTTGAGCAAACACACCCAGCTTTGACTTAAATACGGATGCTGCACGAGCAGTGTGGCTCGTACATGATTCTCCGTCCCAGATGGCGCAGGTGGCTCTGTGTCCTACTCCAGCGACACTGACAGGCATCCCAGTGCACTCAGGGACTGCGTGGGTGCTCCGGCTCTCGGGGATGGTGAGAGAAGCCAGGCCAGGTGGATGTGGAGATAGCAGGGGACAAACAGGAAAATCCACGTTCTCTTCAGAGATCGTGCGAATAGGAGCAGAAAGAACTCAGCGGCTGACTCACCCACACTGTAACTCCATAGAAACTTCCGGCGCAGTTACTTAGGCAGCAAATCAGACTCAAAAGAGCTGATGCCTGATGCGGTAGGAAAGAAGATTCGAGGCTGCCCTCCCCCTTGGCTGGCCAATTAGGAGGAGATTAAAATGCAATGCATCATCTTTACTAAAAATGGCAATTAAAAATGTCATTAACAAGTGTTTAAGTCAAATAGTGAATGAAGATGAAAGAACAATTACTCACAATTTTCCCAAGTTCTTTCTCCCATAGAAAATGGCATTCTTGATCAAGTTAGGTCAGGAGTTGGTAAGCTGCAGCCTGTGGAGGCAGCCCAGAGCACTGCCTGTAATTGTCAGTGAAGTGTGATGGGAATGCGGCCGCGCTCGCCTATTTACGATTTGTCCGTGACTATTTTCATGCTATGACACAGGGTTGAGTAGCTGAAGTGCAGACCACACGGCCTTCAAAGGCTGAATTATTTACTGTCTGGCTCTTTACAGAAAAAGTTTGCTGGGCCCTGATCTTCCCTTCGAACATGAAGCTCTGCAGAGGGTCCTTGCGTGTGACAATCAGGAAGTCTGTGTCCTCCATGAGACACGCATGACTTGCTAACCTCCAGGTGGTCAGCACCGGGCCCAGTGTTTGCTCGACTGAATGGCACGGAATCAACACAAGCTGCTCCCCAGGCTGAAGAGCTTGTACAGGTGACTCCTGTTGGCCCCATCCTCTAGAGTGTCCACCCAGCTCCACCCAGGCCCGAAGATCAGCCCCAAACTCCAAACAGAGCAAAGCCGCAGCCCACGCTCCCATTTGAGCTGGGGCACCTCTGAGTCAGCTCCTGCCTGAACCTCATGCTGCCCAGAGGGAGACTCCATCGGCTCGGGCAGGGCCCAGACTAGCTGGAGGACTAAAGGACGGGCCGGTCAACCCTTCAGCAGGCTCAGCTTGCCCCCAGAGGCGCACACAGAAGCGGCCACAGCCTGAGGTCAGGCGTGAACGGTTCCCCCGGTCCAAACATACATGTGCTGCTGGAGTTGCTGTCATCTCTTGATGGATGGTTCCATTGGAAAAGGCCAAGAGTGACAAGGGGTCCCCTCAAGCCTGGTTTGTACCGGGGCTCACGTCAGTCTGGGTGGTCTCCGGCCTGCGCTATCGCCAGCCCCCCTCCTGGGCTCCAGTGCTCTCGTTCAACAGGAGTCAATCCTACGACCCTCACAAGCCTCTGGGTCTGCAAGCGGAGAGGAGGACTGAACCACCCGCACAAGGAGGCTGGCGGTTTGGGCCCAGGGCGCTGTAGACTGCCCGAGGGAACTTTCCAGGTGATGAAAGCAGGGCACGGAGGGCAGGCAAGGCAAGAATTCTTTTCCTGGAGGTTGAGCAACTCTGCTGCCCCTGCTCTTGCTGGGGGGCTGTCCTCAGCCCCTGTCCCTGCTGTGGCCTCCCTTCCTCCATCTCTCCTCCCAGCCTTCCTTCCTTCCCCACACTTAGGACCCTGGGCCTTGGCCAGGACCATGCCAACAAACCCGCGTGTTCACGGGCCTCTCCTCTCCTCTCCTACCCCTGCACACTCTGATTGTGCTCTCCCAACCCCCCACTTCTTGGAAGCAGACAGCAGCTCCCTGGGGGATGCTGGTGGGCTCATCCCGGTCCCAAAGGGTGAGTCATAATTCAACCCTCCCAGTGGTTGGATCAGGCATGGACATTCCAGACCATCCTGACTAAAGAGACAAGAGGGGGCATCTTCTAGAGGCTTCTGGGGAAGGTTGTCCTTGTTGTTGAGATGAGACACCAAGAGGAGGACAGGAAAGAGCAGTGCCTCCCCTGTCACCGTCCACTCCCGTTGCTGGGCATGGTGTCCGGACAGCGCGGGCAGCTTGTGCGGGGCAGGCCTCCTGTAGGCCAAAACGCGGAGGAAGGGGGAGAGAACCCATGTTCTTGATGATGTTACCAGGCGATGAATTAATTGATTCTGGAATCCCTCTGACTCCCGAATTTGAGATATGTGAGAAAATACACTTCCTTTGTCATTTAAACCATTTTGAATTCATTTGCATGTTACTTGCAGCTAAATTAGCTAGGCTCCAACAAGCTTTGGAGGGCCTGCCACCTCATGAAACACAACTCCATGAACCTGAGGCCTTTCCCCTCCAAGACACTGCCTCTTGCCCCATAGAGTCTCCCCGGGGGCATTTGTACCAGCCCCCAAAGCCAACGTGCTCCCTGACCACATCCAAAGCAGAAGCTCGATTTTGAAGCTTTCGTATTTGCCTCCTCGTCCTTCCGCTTTCTCCTGCCACGTGCGAAGATATTGCAAATTTTATTTAAAACTGAATCATCAAACTTCTGCTTCTAGTAGTGATGAGTAGTTAGTTCAATTGAGATAAAATT